ACTACTGCTAAGATCTGTAGAAGCAGTTGACACACTTTCTTCAGGCTTGGTCCGTCTCTTGTTTGCCATCATGAGCTCAGAGTTGCAAGAACAAGTTGGGCATGTATTTGGGAGACGTTGCAAAGATTGCTTGTTATACTCGCCGCGGCCCTTTCATGCTTCCAGAAATGGTATAAGTCGACAATCTTCTAGAGGCTCCGCCAAGCATAGCCCATGGTGAGAAACCCCCCACACGGTGTCCCGGATTATATTGTAGATTCCATTTTCTTTTCCATTATCCCCATTATGCCCTACATTCTCTCTAAATTTCCCAATATTACCCAGATTCCTGTGCATTTGACGTAGCCTGGGATGCCCGGGAGCCAAGATCTGCCGGTCATCTGAGATCAGCTTCTGTAGTGGAGTCAGGGGTTTGCAGCTTCAAGCAAATGTGAGATGGATCTCTAAATGGGGATGTTACCCACTCTGGAGCAAGATGGGCTTCTCCATGACGAGACCATGACCTAGGTTCAACCTCCAACAAACATTCAGGTAGAAGGCTGAAAAAGTACCAGCACTATTCCCGAACAACCCTGAGGATAGCATTTAATCTACTCCAACGCCTTGTGGTGATTATGCAGCATTCACGCTCCTTCACTAAGCATTTGTGTTCCAGCTTACGTTCCTGGCGCCTGGCATGGCCGACCCTCCCTGACAGATTTAGAGCCTATACAGGCCTACATAATTCCAGGTGATATCACCTAAGCTGGGCGACCCTGGGGGATCCTGCATGCTGTTTGGAATTGGAAGCGCTGTCGGTCAAAGGCCCCAGCAGCGCGTCCGGAACTAGGATGCTAACTTTGGCCCTTTGTCGGGGACCGTGCCATGGCCGCTGCTCTTCCTGTTGAACGCTGGGTTTTGCGGAAGGGAAAGTCTGGTATGGATCGGTACACGCGTGAACTATGCTGTTGTTGGACGTGCGCTCTTTGGCACCGGCTCGTCTGCTTGGGATGTTGCGCCACTTATTCTCTGTCAATGTCGCATGGTACGCCGCATGTCCTCGCGGGCTACGGCGAGTGTCATCCTCTTCACTTGCGTTGTTGCAGACGTAAGCCACAGGTTACGGCTTGCAGCCAGGTATCTCAGTGTCGACAACAAGCAAAGTTCCTCTGAAACATCTGCGGTTCTATGGCTCTATGGCTGTCTACGGATCAGCCACGGCTAGTCGCACCTCACTTGAGATGGTAATTACTTGATTCGCTGGCGCGACACAAACACCTGGCATCTCAGTCTGGGGTGTTCCAGGTCTCGCTGGGTGCACCTTTGCTGAGTCATGTCCTTACGCCTGCTCGAAAAAATCCCGCCTCCTCCTCCAGAAGATCCATAGTCCTGTGGCCATCAAGCATCAGCTATGACCAGACTGGCTTCACTCAAATGCGCTGTGAGGTGTGTCTCAACTGCCTGGCGACCCGCTTGGTTGGATTGAACATTCTTGTTTCAAGTTAACAGGTCCTTCAAGACTTCAAGAAGACTTGGTCTGCTTGACCTAAAGGGGAATCCGACCAGACCTGTCGCCACGGGGTTTTCACAATTGCCGACAGTGGGGCCGCACTGCCACATTGTTAATGATTCACACCTGGCTTGCGGCCGGGATGTCCATGGCATTTGCGTGTTTTCGTCCTGCTCTTTGTCCATATGCCACCGGTGCCCCTGTGCGGTTCTATCCTCCACCACGCGTGCTGTGCCTGCCAATGCCTCCAAGGTTCGCACTTTCCCAAAGTGCTTGTATCTCCAATGTCTTCTACCAGCAAGCATGTTGGCATTTTTGATGAGACCATGATTCCGGCTTGCGCGTTCCATGTTTCACGTCGCAGCCTTTTGTTTGCCATCTTCAGTCAAACTCTGCCACGGCGGGATCTGCGCTTCGCACGCCTCAGACCAAGAACAATTTATGTGTAACGGCGTGCCTCCTACTACAACTGCCAACAAGGATCATGTTTCTTCCTACATTGATTAGGGTAATAGGGACGAGGTGAACCCCTGGGCCTTAACAATGGACCGGGAACATTGAATGCTCGTGCCCAAGGACTTCGCCTCCATTGAGGGCTACCAGGCTGATGCGTACCGCGTTTGGTTATCATTCGAATAGCCATTATTAAGGTAGCAATCCTTATCACCGCCTTGGCACAAGACCGTGCATTCGAAGATTGTGAGAAGCTTGTTCATTGGCAGTGCTCCACATGATCGGCATGGTAAGCTTGAACGTAGCAACGCTCTTGAATACGAATCACAGTAGCAACCTGAACCCGAAAACCCAAAACAGCAGATTCAGAACAATCCAACAAGAAAAGTCCTATCTGCTGCCATGGCAAAGCCTCTCCGACATTAACATTTGTTAGAGTTTCCGCAAACGAGGGATCCATTTTCGGAAGCCTTCTGAAACAGGAGTCTAGTTTGACTACCTAGTTTGTTGGGGAAGAAAGGGGAGCACCAATCATCCTGAGACACAGCCATGTGTTGATGGGGCCCTATTGTAAGCAGTCAGAACCGCAGTATTCACAGGTCCTTTGGAAATTGAGCCCTAGGCAGTGTGCTTTTGATAGGAGAGCTCCAATCCAAAGCCATAAACTCTAAACTCTGGAAACCCTAAATCCTGTAAACCCTAAACCCTGTTGGAGGTCTACGAGAAGCATCCAGATCACCTTGCGCTCATCGAGCAGCAGATCAAGCCGATGCTGGTTGCGGGCTCACGCGCGGCCATCCAGCCTCTTGAACCTGAATATGAAAAAAATCCCGGCAAAATGTTGACCCTCGCCCAAAACGGAACCATAGCCGCTAGCCAGGATGGTGGAGTTCAGCATCTTGGAGGTTCCATGTTAGCTTGGGAGACAGGGGGAATTCCTCTGCCCCTTTCATGTTTCAAGATGTGTTTGGGGCAAGTATATAGTTTAGCATTTGGCTCTGGGGCCGACCTTGGGGTCCCTCTGATTCAAGTGCTTCATAATGTCAGCATTCCGCTGCTACGATGGTAGGATTTGCAGGAGCTGAATTTTTGGGATGATTACGCAAGATTTGGACTGATCCTGGATTATCAAGACGCGGGTGTTTAAACGCTGAATTCCTTGACCTCAAACATCTCTAGATGGAGTGCAGCCACCATTTCATGTGTCTTTTGGGTGCCTCCCCGACTTAACTTGAAGCTGTGAAGCTTGGTGCCTAAGCCTTCCCGTGGCATGCTGCAGGTATGTGAGCTGAGGTCCGTGCTAGACGCTTAGATGAGCGATTGTCTCCTTGGATTCCAGGCTTTTTGTTGCCGGCCCCATTCTACTTCCTTCCAGACGTCAATCGCAGACTTTCCAGGTAGCATGAAAATCCAAAGGCAATGCTCAGATAAGGGTATTCATCAGTCACACGAAGGCAAGCTTGTGGTATACTTTGAAGAAAACAGTGCTTTTGCAGTGCTGCAGCTTCTGCGGCTTGGAATGTGATGAATGCCAGCATGCGGAGCTTCTCCTTTCAAACGCCCCGGCATTTTTTCCCCAAGCATGTTGACACGTTTGTCGCACAGACCCCAGAATCATAGGGAAGAATAATATAGACTGTTCAATCAGAGAAACTCCTGGTTTTTTCACCCAGACAGCATCACGTTGACTCGCAATTGCTTCAAGAAAAAGGCCGTTCGCTGCAAAGGATTCCGACGATCTGGCTGGCTAGTCACAAGTTGAATTTGAGCTGGTATTGTATTTCCTCAGAGCGGTATATGCCACTTCGCGTTACGTTGCACCTTCAATGTGGTAGGGTCCATGTTGAAGGTAGCCATGATTTTGCTCTCACATCCCATCCCCGTGGCCGCCCACTTGTGGAAAATGGTCCGAGCCAGAGCTGGATCATGATTATCCTTGTAAGATTGTCGCCCGGACTCGAGCCCAAAAAAGCGGCCATCGTCATCACCAGGAGTAGGTTGAACGTGGTGGAACGTGGATGTTTAGGGGCTCCAACTTATAGATACGCATGAACAGAAGAAATCGAAGACAGAACCATTCAGACAACCCCCAAGATCCTCCAGATGCATATTATGCTGAGTAGCCGACGATTCATGCGCGTATTCGTCAGAGCTAGGTTCCTACTGTTGATATCAAACATCCTGCGTGACCTTAGCATATACAAATGCCCTAACTCCAAAGATAGAAGGTACTTTCAGGAATGTGGAGTGTTAATGTCAAGTCTATCCTACACCCTCCCCAGATCCCTCAATGGGGCTGGGCCTCTAAGTTTGAGTTCTGAACGGGTCTCCACTGCTGGGAAGTCGGACGTAGAGCTTCAGTTCATGAGTTTTCCACGGAGGTCCCAAAGGATACGCATCACCTAGGCCATTGCCAGAATATGCTCACATAAATATATACAAACATGTACATCCAAATAACCCTATGTGCATACACATAAGCGTTTCATATGAGTTGCAGCAAGTATTGCAGGGATATGTGGGGCCCCCAATCCACAGCTTTCTTCAAACTTAGGGTTTCCAGAAATTCGGGGTCCTTTCTTAGTCAGCATATTTAGTAAGGATCAGGATATATGGGGGTCCATATTGGGTTCCCCCTTTTGTATGGAATTACCAAGTCTGCTGAGGTAGGATTTCATTACTAGTTTTGGTGAATGTCTAGACGGTTCACGGGGGAACATCGCCAAGATTAGACAATGGTGTTCACATGGGGAGACTGCGAATTTCATACTTTCAGTATTTGCATGCTGGGGTTTCAGCGTGGCTGTTCTCCTCCGCCAACGCCCGTTGACGGCCGGCTTCGGCAAAGCGATTATCACTGGAAGCCAGAATGGTAATTAGGCCTCCACAGCATTCACCAGTACTTCTAACACATACAGTGCGTTCCTTTTCTTCTGCTAAGGCTTCTTACAGCTGCGAGTAGCCTCAGGAAAGCAATACCTCAGTCCAAATAGTTCAATAACATTTGCCCCTGAGCTTGAAAGAACTCTCATGGCCTGGTAAACAAACTCAGCCTCAGGGCGCGCACTCTATCTTCGCTGGCGTCTTCATTCAGAAGATGCCAACGGATCTGTGGTGTTACCAGCAGGTCGGCAGGGTGGGCGTGAGCTCATTGCTTGCTGGAGTGGAGGCCTTTCTGAAGATTTGGGAGGCGAGAGGTGTGAGGCTGTAACAGGCTAGAGTGAAGCCGTCGGAAGGAAATGAGTATCGCAGAAATTGGAGCATGGGAGCTTAGTGATCATCAGTACTCGAAGCCAAATCCCAAACCTGCAGGAGTTGCTGCAGCAGCCTGCCTGGCCCTAGCTTCTAAACCTTAAGCCTTAAACGCTTTGAGTGCAGGTCATCCATGATCTGCGGCCGACTTACATCATCGACTTGGGGAGTTCTCAAGGAGGCGAAAATTTCTGCAAAAGTTAGCAAGCTTCTCCTTCATGTTTTTTTTCGCGCAGCCGAACTTTGGATGACGTCTTGAAAGCAAAAGATGGGGGTTGACTTCCTCACTTGGCAAATTCGCTTAGCTTCCTTCATGGTTCTAAATTCCAAGTCCCTTCGGGAAATGTTGAAAGATCAGGTATGCAGGTCAGCATATTGCATTCTGGGACGCCAGCAGCAGGGCACAATAAGAGCAAGGGTGTTCAATTGCTTGTGGCACAAGCTGCTTTTGGAAAAACGAGAATGATGGCACGCAAGAGAGTCGATCAGTTCGCCTCTAGCATTCAAATTTACAAATTTTTGCGGAGCTTAAGACAAGCGTGGAACCACATACAGCCCCTTTGAAACGAGAGCTGTCTTTCGTATGGCTCCTGTTGGGGTTCCATGTTTGTTCAGGGGAGGGGAATCCCCCTACGGTTGATAGAAGAAGCTGCTGCATGGCCCTGTGTGCCCAAACCTTGAGAATCATGGTGCGATAGTAAACTAAGGGATTCAGATTTTTTGTCCATCAGCGATACACATGTGCTCCCACTAAAGCCTTGCACACCCCCCCAAGCCTGTTTGGGTGAGCGTAGGTAGCACTGTATGGTTCGCATCCATGCTGAAGCTCTTCGAGATTCCTGGCAAGGCTCGGGACGCCGGAGGAGATTGATACCAAGCTAGAGTTGAGGGTTTCAGCACTTTTGGGGGTTAAGGTTTATGGCTCCGGGTTTGAGATTTCATAATGTGGGTTCAAGGTTCAGGGTTAAGCCAGAGCATAAGGTTGAGGGTCGAGTACCTACCGATAGAATATTCCGGCTGGACATGAGGCTTCAGATAGTGACAGTTAGAGTAGTTGCTCACATGTCAGTGATAGAGTCCCGTGTTTGCTGCTGATCATGGGAAGTGACGTGTGCGGCGACGTGTCGAAAACTTTGGGTAGGACTCTCAACTTTGAAGTTTCTAGTTAGCAAAAGCCAATCCTCAGGCCCAGGCCCCAACATGGCCCCGCAATCTTGAGCACCATGGCTTGGTACCCATGCACACTCAAACACCATCCACTCTGTGTGAACCTCTGAACCGCCAAAGGAATTGCAATCTCACAGCATCCACCACATTCACTGCCCATTAGGTCATCTCAGTGGACCTGGCTTTGGACCAAGCCTATTGGTGCAAGCCTGAGGAGAAGGACGTACTTTCAACCTTGGGATAGCCAGCGTGTTCCGCAAGATCTCCTGATCCTTCCAGGTGCCAAATTCAAGTGCAAGGGACCTCGTGGTAGGTTTTCTGTCAGGGCTGTCCGTTGGTCACATGTTCCGACTCCTGCAGCTCTGCTGGAAATGATTCTAGGACGTTCTGAAGGCATGCTACGGATCGGGGCTTTGATTGGGTTACGAGATCCAGAACCTGCAAGAGGCAATCCCCAAGCCTCTAGCCCTTCGGTGCGTTCTGATCATTAATTTGTGTGTGTAGGTGCTGTAAGTTGTTCTGCACAGTCTGAAAGGATCGCAGCATGCTCTTGACGTTGTTATTCTGATTGTTCTTATCACATGCTTGCTTGGCCAGGTCGCCTCTACCTGGCTACCATGTCTGAATATTGCCATGAGGAGTAAAGTCTTCGGCCAAGGCTCACCAAGAAGCGTGCAGAAGCTGCTGTCGAGCGCTTGAAGCTGGAAGAGTTCGTAGACTGGTGACGGGCTAAGATGCGGTTCAGGTGGTTTAGGGCTGGAGGTGTCTGAGGCCTTAGTCGAGCCCAGGGACTAGTAGCTAATGCTTCTGCAGTTGCGTATGTGCAGATTAAAAGTCCTTAATGTGTCTCAGAGCTACTGGCCGCCGACTGGGGTCTTGACAATGAGCTTGCTGTTTTTCTACGGTCCCTACTGGCACCCTTGCGCTTAGAGGTGGAGATATGGTGCTTTTTTCAGGGGCGGACAGCGCAGCGGCATGGAGATGCTTGAGACCTGAAGAGCAGTTTGGCATGTCTCGGCATCTTCTGGCAAGTGCCCAGGTTTCACTCAACCCGAAACCCTAGCAAATTTCTGGGATGGTACGCGAGCCTCAGCAAGTTGCAGCTTACCTCCGGAAAGTCCTCAGGGATCAGGGCTGCGAGAAGGTTTGTTTCCTTGCTAGCGCTCTTAACCTACATGCTCCGGCAATGACCTCGAGAAGAAAACAAGGTTCCACTAATCTTCACTCGTTCCTGTTTCAAGGGCTACACAGGCAGGTATATCAGTGGGCACATATATGGGGGATACATCCTGACACCTGGTCGTCTCGATGCCAAAAAGGAACTATGTCGTGGGCGGCTCCAAGAGCAAGGAAGTCAGGGCAAAGGCCAGGGTTTGGAACTAAGGGTGTAGGGCTCCTGCTCCTCTCTTCCTCCTACTGCACTTTACATGAGAGTCTCGACAACTTGCACCACCCCAAGTCCCCAAGTCCTAGGAGTTGCGCTACCTCAGATTTCCTCCAACATCATGCTCTTCTATTGTTGGCTCGACTTAGAAATTCACACTTTTGGAAGGTGAAGCGGCTTTGCAAAGCAGCTCCCTGCATGGTGGTGTCAGTGCATCCCTCAGTGCAAGTTTCTGGTCAGGCCTCACCTGAAAGCTAGTCTCCGTGAAAGCGTTGCGGGTTTTCTGCTGTTTTATTGGCAGGGCTTGTTATGATCATGGTAGGTAGTGGAAGCTCTATCTCTGAGGCTCGAACGAGCTGTCATGACCAAATATAGAGCCTGTTAACTATCCCAAGCTTCATGGGCGGGAGGCCCTGCCGATTCATTCAGGCTGGGTGCACTTGTATGCGCGCCTCTGCATGATTTGGCGCCTAGTGATGCTTGTCTAACGGCTGCCTTTGGTCATAGCATACCTGCTGCGCATTGTTCTTTCTCATCCGGATGTTCTGCATGCAGTCCTCGACGGCTGCTGTGGGTTAATGATTCTCCTCATTTTGGAGTCATGTCCCGCGGTCCTCCCCGAACACATCCCAAGTCTCGTGCCACAAAAATGGCACCAGAATGTGGGGACTCTGCCATCTGAGTGGGCTGTGGACCATGCTTGGATGCAGCAAGTTTCAGCATTTACGAGCAATCGTTGCTTGTCCTTACAAGGTCGTTGGTTCAATCTACACTCCCTGCCCTCGCAGTGTAAAAAAATGGCTTACGAAAGTCCAAGGTCGCATGCTATCCAAACTTAATCCTGCTAAGTGACGTACAGCCCACCTTGCAGGACTCCGATCATGACTACGAGCACACGTACCACGAAATGGTGCTTTGTCTGAAGAGTGGCTTGTTTCATGCGTCGCTTCATTGTTTCATGTATAGTGTAGTCGTGGGGAGAGACCGTTGCAGTGTGTTCGACAGATTTGCATCACATGCACAGTGAAAGTGTGGTTCAGGCCTAGATGTATGCCAAGAGGATCAGTGTGCTAGGAAGCACAAGGTTCCACCCAATTATTGTAATTTGCTCCCATGGCCTCAAATCTCTGCTGCAGCCTATGGTAGAGAAGCTCAGGAGTGGTACGCAAAGCATGTGGGCGTTGGCACTTGCCTGAGAACGGTGAGGAGGCTAAGCGCTTTGCAAGATTCACGTTCTTGCCCACAGCACGTTTTGCCATACTAAACAGGTACCCCAAAAAGGATCCATCTCCTAGTTGCTTCAGGCATGGCTGCTATTGCAGATGTTGTGTAATTTGGACTTGTGTACTGCCACCCCGCGAGCAGGGACCCTTGCATTCGGGCTGCTGCAAGAGCTTCGTTGCAGTATCTCGAGTAAAAAACATGACTCTTTTAATCCATACCCTCCACAACATGGAGAGTATTTATTCTTTGTCAGTGGTTTGAGGTCCAACTGTTATGTTAGTGGGGCCCCTCGAGTTTGGAGACTTCATGCCTTAGTAGGAAACGCCATCCAAGGTCAATACTTGATCGTTGAGGCGCTCCTGTTGAGTCGGTTGGAATTGGGCGGTGGCGAGAGCCATTCCAGCATCGGATGCTCATGCCAAACTAGGATCTAGCTGTTGTGGTGTCTAGAGGGTTTTGCGGTGCGGGAGTAAATCCAGCAGTTGACAGGTAATCGTGAACGCGATTGTTGCTCTGCTCTGTGCCTTTGTCAGCCTCACTTATCCTGTTCAATTTCTGTGGGGAGTGTGCGATTTGGATAGCGAGCCATTGCCCTGCGAAGTTTAGTGAGTTCTTGGTGAGCACCTGCACAGGGGCAGAACAACTTGAATAAACTTGGGGAGGAGTGTTCCTTTGGCAGGACACTAATATCTACGGCTGGACCGGCTGGATCAACATCAACGATCCCAACGAGGCGGGCTTAAAAACAAAGGAGATGCTCTGAGGACTGTTCTCGTAATAGGAGTGCTCGCGACATGTACAAAGCTGCCAGAACTGCTAGGACTCCGGCAACCAAACATGTGACCTTGGGAAGCAGTGCCCCAGCACCGTGTACGGTGTAGTCATACACCACTGGAAGAATGTTTGTCCCAGCTTCAATTCCGGATTCCCTACACACTCGCTGAGCTCAGCTATTGCTGCCGTGTGACCTCTGTATTTGAGTGCCAGGCTGAACTTCGAAAAGGGCCCATGGAAGCTGCCAACGACTTCGAGCTAGCGCAAAGGCGGTGACGGTAGACTTCGAGCCGTCACATTAAATAGGAATGGTGTGAGAGGGGAACAGTATGTTCCCCATTCTTCAGTCCCCGCATTAGTTGCAGAAAGCCATCTCCTGGTTCGTTGAGAAGTCCCACGATTGTGGTGCTCCTTGAAAGGCCTTCTTTGGTGAGAACAGAATGTTATGCGATCTCCTTACGCACAATCACGGAACGTAAAGCAGGCTTTAGGTTGGAGTCCACATGGACCGTGCAGAGAAACGCGATTGCGCATGATTTAGAATATGGCCCAGTCTGGGCTGGTTCAAGTACACGCATGCAATTGCTGACTTTTGTCAGGGCGGACTTTGTGCGGACGGATTGGTGCGCAAAGCACTACGGAGGACTTTCTCAGACCCAAAATGGATGGCCAAGGCCTCAGCTTACGGGTTCCAGGAATGAAGCAAATCATCAACAACCGTTACGGTTGGAGCCCTGATTTCAAGACCTGCAAACACGATCTGGTGGCATTGACCTTGGATCCCAGAGACAAGGATCTCACCCTCAGCAATGGATTCTGTGATAGATGCATGTAAAGCGATGAACATTTTAGATGCTTCCTGTTTCAGCACCCAATCAGGTTCTTCCGGAAAGCCAAGCGCGCACGGGGAATCAGCTAATGAGCCGCGTAGCCAACCAAAGATGAAGGCGGAGCGCTGGGAAAGTGAGTTTAAAAGACTTTGAGGGCTAGGGTTTTTGAAAAGCAAGGTCCTACAGGGCACAAATTCCACAACGTGTTCTTGGTATAGCACAATACAGAACTGATAGTCTTGCATACGCAGTTCTCAGCACATCTCACGGCGGTGTTATAATGTGCGCCTGTAATTCGAGGTTTTAGAGCTGTGGCTGCGGGCTTGGGTTCAGTAAGGGCGAAATGCAAAGATGCCTGAGCGAAGCATCAATCATCCGCCCCGAGCAGCTACTCCAGGGCGTTGTGAAGTACGCTGAAGTTTTAAACTTCGAGGCTTCTAGGGGGCACCACGGTCTTGGATTTGTGAGACGCGCCCTGTGTCAATTTCATGACTAGGTACGATCCCTGTGCAGCAACGTCGCCTCAAACCATGTGTCCTGCGTCTACAGAGACCCCATCACAGATTGTTTAGCAGATGTCTGCAATCGTTGACCAAGGGCATTCTTCCTTCATTCCGCAATAGAAACGGCACTGAGAACTGTCCCACCCAAGCAGAACCTGGAACGGGGAAACTAGAATGCCCTCCGAATCCCTGCATACCCTACAGAATCCCTGAAGGAGACCCCTGTCGCACCCCAGAAATCAACTCTTACTCCCCAGAATATCCTGTCCGCCATGCCCTGCATGCGCTGCGGGTTGGCCTTGCTGTGGTCCTGGGCCTGCTTTTGCAGCTTCGCGCAGGGCGAGGTGGATTGCACGACTGTACGCAACAGGTCCCCGTCTGGGCGCCGACGTGTTATAGGACATCACACTGGTATGCATGGTTTGGGGGGTACTCTCAAGCTTCTAGGAGTTCTGTGCTCCCTGACACGATCCTGATAGACGAGATCAAAGTCTTTTCAAGATCCGCTCTTTCAAACATCATATCACATCAAACCATGCGAGCAGAATGCCATTTTGCTACTGTAGCACCAGCCAAGATGGGGGCCTTTTCTCTAGTATTCGCCGGAAAGCCCGTAGCCCATAGCTCCACAACAAGCTGAAACACCGTATATGAAGCCCCTAGGATCTCAAGGGAATCCCCTGTGAGTAGGTGGCTTTGCTTTTGGGAGACAGCTGGGCAGCCTTTGCTGGCAACACCCTGCTGGAGCACTGCGTGCTTAAGCTGAATTTAGGGTTTGGGGTTTTCGGTTTGGGCTTCAAAGATGTTTAGGATTCCGTGTCTGGGATTCAAGTCGTGGGCTTTGGGCGTAGGATTTAAAGTGCCGGATGCAGCCTCCAAGAGCAATCCGTGGGGATTCCATACATGCCAGATTAGGAGACCGACCATATGAGACCTTATTGCCTTATGGGGCCACATAGTGCAGTAAAACTGCTTGGGGTTTACTACAACAGTGGTGTGTTCAGCAGGGGTCTATTCAACAAAGATGCGTAACCTCGCTCTCCAAAGCCTCCCGTCATCGTCATGGGTTCATATGGGTTCTAAACAGTTGTTTTGTTGGGGGGGGAGGTGGGGGGGACGGGAAGGTGTTGGGTGTGGGTGGCTATCTGACCCCTTAAAGGTTGAATATGTTTTGTTTTTTTCGAATGTAGAGTCTACTAACATGATTGAACATGTAAACTTTTTAGTTTTATTCTAGGAATATAGAAATGAAGTTTCCGCCAAAGGAGCCAGTTGAGCTGCGCAGCCAAGGTTGGTATGACGCAGGTTGTGCCTGGGTCATAAGGTAATGGGAGATATTCTGGTCTGAGGGTTGGGGGGCGGCACATAGAATAGCAGGAGGGATGAAGAAATGGTTTAAGTTAACGCGTGGTCCATAGGATCCTAGGTATCAAAGGTTCTGCATAGGTGTTTTTCTCGAGGAAAAGAGGGATGCTGGATTTGAATACTGCAGGGTCAAGAGGACAGGATCCCAGAATATCATTTGATTCATTGACAGTAAACCAGGTGAATGTTGGTGTTCCGGGCACCACTGCTGCCGACTGGGCGGCGGGTCTGGATTGCGAGTCTTGGGCATTGGTTGAGTCGATGCCCAGGCGTGTTTCAAGACCAGGGTCCCGTTTATAACATGAGGATCCTCAATCGAGCGGCCTTTGAAGCGGAATGCTAAAAGGGGATGTCATCACTTGAGAATCTGGATGTTGGTACAGGAGAACAGTCCTGCATGTTCTGGGATATGGTCGACCTCCTGAGCCTCAGCTTGAGTACAAAGGACTCTGCTCCGGACTCATTCTGCTGCCAAGAAGGTAGCGGCGTGCCTTGGAAGCAAGAGAGAAAGGTGTAGCAACAGTACAGTATTGGCTAGGGTGCTGTAGTATTGGGAGATATACTGGAAATGGGCTTTCTGATGGGAAGCGATCGATTCCAATGGACCGCCAAGAAGGGCTTCGAATTTCCATGCTTTGCTAATTGCTTGTTCGAAGGGGCAGCTTAGCCGTATTTCATAGTATGGCAGGCTTGCAGATTTCCAGACTGGTGCGTAAGCTAACATGTGGAGCCGCAGAGGATTTCCTCTGTCATGACACCAAAGCTGCTACGATGATTCACAGTGCAATGTCTTTTTCAGGACTCTCACTGGGCCTAAGCACTACTCCAAGAGTTCGGGGACTAAAATTCTGTATGAACAGAACGCAATGCCGCGCAGCTTGCTATTCAGTTGGACTTTGTGACGAACCTGCTGTCATTCCAGCATCCACCCCACGCTCCGGATGAAGCAAACCTCTGTGACACTTTGCACAAAGCTAAGCACTTCAGACCCTTGCAATTCAAACCAACCTAAACCCAGACACTCTGCTTCTCAAGGGCAAGATTCTCAGGGAAGTTTTGGGGTCGGGTGTTGCTTTGTGTTTTAAGGTTCGGGCTTTAGGGCCCGGTTATTCAGAAGGCATCCAATACTGCCAGGCTGGCTGCAGCATTCCTGCTGCATTGGACATGCTACCCCCTGGAGATGAGCCTGTCGTGGCCTGGGTCAGCTTGGGTGGGAATCTCGCACAGATCAGTGTGCAGATATTTTACTACAACATGGAGAGTTGTACGCCTCCCGAAATGAAATCGCCCTGGTTGTACGGCCCCAGACTGCTTATCTGCCAGAGTGAAACCTATATGCACATAGGCATGGCCAGTTGCAAGTCTCGACCGTGTCCCTAAATTATCTATCTCTTTGAGCAGGTCGTATATGTCGTTCCCAGGAATGACTACATCATGTCGTCCTGCGATGAGACAAACGAAGAGGGCATGGCCACGTTGCAGGAGAATCTTGAACAGGCGGGGGTGGAGTGGGGCGGGGGATTGTACTGTAGGGGTTTTGTTTAGGGTTTCTTGACTAAGGTGCCAGGGTTTTAGGCTTCGGGGCGGGGATAATGAGTTAGGCTGCCTTGGTGTTTGCGTGCCAAAATGTTTGAACGTAATTTTGGGTGTGCGGCGGGTAGGAGATGCGCTGAACCGTCGCTTTACTACACCGCCACCACCACCTCCACCTTAGCTATCCCATTATGCAAACCTTCTGGAATCACACTTTAAATCTTGCTGGTGGTGGTGCTGGTGGGTGGTGCTGCTGCCGCTGGTGCTGCTGCCGCTGGTGCTGGTGC